GAATCTCAGTCAATACTCTTGCCACCTTGCATCATTCTGGGACAGATTAGCAGTGCCAATCTAGAGTTCCTAAAACAATATTTAGCTGCAATGATTAATCCATTGGAGAGTTAACACAACACAATGAAGATGAGTCGAATGACCACCCTCCCCACCTCCGTGCTGAAATTTCTATGAAAATATACCAAGGGCTCCAAGAAAACAAGCCATATTTTAATGCTGGGAAATATGATATTTGTGTTGTAAATACATTATAAATATTGTAACTCTGCCTAAACTAAATCCTTCAACAGTAAGCTCATCAAGAGTAAGGAGTCAAAAAAACAAAACATCCTAGAAAGAACAAATGGGTGACAGTCTTGCACTACTATTTGAATAACAATTAGCATTATTCCTTTGGTTAACTGACAATCACAATATTTATTCTTATGTTGGATTTACCAATTTATAAATGCTGACAGTTAGAAAAAGGTTGTCATTCGTGAATGTCTCAAAACACCCTTAAAATACACCCTTGTTCCCCCTTGGTTAATTCCTACAAGCAATATTGTATTTGCAATAGTTTTAAAACCTAGTATTTCAAACGCCTGACTGAAATATCATCCATGGAAAATAAACAATCTTTTTATAATTTCTAACAATCTTAAAAATTTGGGCAAATGGAATTTTGCAGTATCAGCAATAGATCCTAGTGTTTCCTTACAGTTTTCTTGGATGCAGGGTTCCCAGCTTTTGATCGAGTATTTCTTGAAATGATTACTTTTCATCAATTTTACGTGCATCTACATAACGGCTGTTAGTACTAGCAAGAAACTCTTCACCCTTCGGGGACTCCCAAATCAGGTGAAGCATGACAAAGTGCAGAGAAAAACTCTCTGCTCTGACCAAGTCCTGTACCCTTAGCTTAGAGCTCAAAACATTCTCTATTACATCAGTGAGGTATTACAGTATCTATTTCCCACACCAGTCATTCTGCAGCCAGCAACCCTTTGGCCTTTCTAAATTGGATATTTGTTTTCGATCAGCCTGTCAGATACATGTAGAAACCCGTCACCATGCTTAAGTGTATCCAAACCCGATTGAGAGTTCCACATAGCTGTGCCACCTACACGTGGGAATGTTCCTATTTCTGGCAAGGAAAGTACACTTTATCCCGACAGGGATGCACCCTGCTTACCCAATTTCAGATGATATGAGGCAAAGGTTGATGAAAGCCAAGGTTTCGGGATCCCAGAGTATACTTTGAGATACTGCTGGAATTTAACCTACTAAAACTGCATGGATTGCCATTGAGAGCATGCCTAATAATCTTCAGCACCTCTTCCAGCGATATGTAATAACTGATCAGTGGTTCATTCACTTGCCCTCCATCAGTTGTAATAATAATTTCAATGAAGCTCGCACTTCCTTTCTTTTATAAGACGTTGATTACTCTGTCTGAATATCCAGAATTTACTATTTATAATACATGAGATCTCCAGCAAACAGCTTTTTTAAAATGTCCACTTACAAGTATCTGTCAGGTTATAGAGGGCCAGACAGAGCAGGAATTTTGACTCCTGGTTTTCCCCACTCAGCTCCTGCAAGCCAACGCCTATACATAGGGTGGTCTGAGCTGGACAAGCAGCAGGAAAGCTTGCCAAACAGTAATCTGAATGGCAAGCTGTGTGTTTTTAGCTGGTTGAAATCTAGGGATATCCAAATGCACACTTTGGGGTCCCCAAGTCTTGACTCTCACCAAACTGTTCCTAATACTCTCTGAAATTAAGTAAGCAGGGTGTATCCATCCTGGGAAAGTGCACATTCCATTTCAGACATAACAAAATGTCCATGTGTAAATAGTATACATACATGGAACTCTCAGTCTAGTTTGGATATTCTTAAGTGATAGGTTAGGGCGGCTATGCTATACTTCGAGATCGGTGGCTGTGCTGACTTGCCATTATCATGATGACCTCAGGATCTCGCACTTACACAAACAGCCTTTAGAAGTTTTTTTTAAGGGGGATCTTTGCCTACCCAAAACAGTTGCAGAATCATTGAAAAAGGCCAGGAGCAAAAGTGGATCTCTCAGCCTCTGCTGATGTTGATCAGCTGGTGGAGAAATCCCAAAGTAAGCCTTTAATGTGGTTTACACATTGGCAAACGTCTTGATGTGAAGCCATCGGTGGAATTTCATGTGCCACAGACAGACTGTTGGTGCGCAGGCCCTATAACAGTATTTCATTCCAGCTTTCAGCTCTTTGAAACCTCCAGGAACTGCATCAGAGAAGTGGGCTGACAGACTGGTGATATGAGGACCTCCAGTGGCTAATGATCATTTCTATCCATTCATATTACACCAACTACTAGTAATCCTTGCTTTTAATATCACAGAGAAACATTTGCTCCAAAGAAATGGTAATTTTCATATTAACTTTCATTTTTCTTCAGTAACTTAAAAAAACACTATGGTCATTCAGACTTAACAAGAAATATGTGAAGCTAATTCAGATAAATTTCCCATGTTGGCAACATTGCATAATTTTGTATTTGTACTTTGCGAACATTAAAGGTCAGAAGTGATTATATGGGTGGATTTTCTGCTGTTTGAGCCAAGGTGAGCATTTGCTATTAAGGTTGGACTTGGATTAGCACAATCAGGCCAACAGAAAACTGATGTGGAATTTGGCGGGCACAAAGCTTTCATTCACATAATGCAGTTTACGGGAGTGAGCAATGGGAAGACTGTAAAATGGAGCAGGATGATTTATTTTTAAAAAAGCAGTGATAATTATCATGTTAAACTCTCTCCACCCCAAAAATGTTGCAACGGTGCTTCCAAGTATCATAATATATTGACAATAGGTAGATTAGCTGATGGAAAGAAACGAAGACAGATTAATCCTTGCATTTGATATGGCACCTACAATCATTAATGTCTCAAAGTGCTTCACAGTAATCGCTGTCAAAAGTAGTGACTGTATATAGGCAGACTTGGCAGCCAATTTGCAGCAGGAATGCCCCACAAATAGGCATGATATGAATAAGCAACTAATCTGAAGGATTTATTGGTCAGGACATTGGGAGAAACGCCCTTCTCTTTTCAAATAGTGCCGTTGATGTGCACTTGCACACTAATGGGATCTTGATTTCATGTCTCAACGGAATGATGGCACCTCCAAATAATGCAGCACTCCCATGTTAGCCAAAAACGTGCACTTAAAGAACCAAAGTGGGTCCCGACTCCAACCCTATCCTGTGACAGGAGAGGAGGCTATGGCACAGCCTTCCAATAGTCCAGAGACCTCTGCGATGCATCTGAGCATGTATGCTGAACCTTCACCGAGAATCCGCACCAGTCACGCCACCCCTTGTTGTCTGCCTAACTTGCTGCTCTGGATAACTCCCCAACCCCTCCCTCCACAGGCTGCAGATCATCCAGAACTCTGCAGCCTGTGTCCTCTCCCGCACTAGGCTCTGCGACCCTATCACCCCCATCCTCGCCCAACTCCACTGGTTTTCCATCACACAGAGGATACAGTTCAAGATCCTGGTCCTCACCTTCAAAGCCCACCATGGTCTTGCTCCCCCCTATCTCTCCGACCTCCTAACCCCCTACCACCCTGTTCGCTCCTTCCGCTCAGCGGGCTCCGGCCTACTTCACGTCCCCCGCCTCGCTTGCCCCACTATTGGCGGGCGGGCCTTCCGCCACTCTGCACCCACCCTCTGGAACTCCATCCCACAGTCCCTCCGTCTCGCCCCCTCACTTGCCATCTTCAAGACCACCTCAAGACCCTCTTCGCTCCCCTTGCCCTCCACCCTCCCCCACCCCTCGGGTCCAGAACTCTGTCTGTCCAGCGCCTTGGGCCATCCTCCCACCGTGAAAGGTGCTATACAAATTTAATTTTTTTATTATTGATAACTATTTGCTGAGCATTTTTTCCTTGGAGTAATGAGTTATCAGGAGTTTACTGTATATGTTTTGGAGACATTAAAGATTATATGTCGCTTATCAACTGCAAAGATTATGCATTTATCTCACGTCTTCATTTATATTTCTATCCACCAATCAGTCTTGTCATCTATACATACAATATGCCTATTGGAATTACATTTATGGGGTGAGGCTTTGAATCTTAGCATGTCAGCAGAATTTTCAAAATGACTTTGCAAGTTGTTAACTGTACCTCATCTTTTCAAAGTTCAATAACAACAACTTATACTGATATAGCGCCCTCCACCCAGGGTAGTGTCTCAGAGCGCTTAACAGTGACGGAACCTGACTCCGAGCGGGAGGGGGAGGTGACTGTAATCACGGTCAAAAGGTTCCAGAAAAACGGAGAGAGGTGACAAGATGGAGGAATTGAGGGAGAGTGTTCCAGAGTTTCGCTGCGTAGTGGCTGAATGCACGACCTCCAATGGTGCGAGGGACAAGCAGGAGGCCGGTGCCAGTTGAGCAGAGGTGCCAGGTGCTGGACTGGGGAATGAGGAGGTCAGAGAGCTACACAATATTACTTTTTTGTATACACACGCGCACACGTTGTTAAAATGCACAATCTGTGACACAACCAGCTGATGAAACAGATTCTAAGCAAGACTTGAAAGGAATTAGATTAATGCTAAAGAGAAAACAACAACATTATAAGCTGCAGGGAAATTTGTAACTGCAGATGGCCAGAGTGCGGGAATTAACAACAGCCCAGACATGAGCTAAATGATTTTGTTCTGTAAACCTTATATGGTAACTACAAGGATGGAATACATGCACTATAGTTCATTTTATCTGTTATGTCCCCAGTGGCTATTTCACTTATTTTGAAACACTATTGAAAGCAAATCAGTTACAATTAACAACCTAAAAGGCAATCTAGCTCAACACTTTATAATTTAGTTCCAAGTGACTCATGCAATTACATTACTTACAATCTTACTAAGCACAAAGCACAAGACTCCACACTGCTTTATTACACCATCACTTACAGGCACATATGTAAAGGATGACAGGTTTGTGAAGTGCTTTAGATAGCAGACTGTGCCCCATTTTGGACTTTTGGTGCTGCTTCATAATGAGACGAGTACTGATGATGCTGATCCACTAAGAGAGGTTGGTACAGCTCATTTTTAGCCCGTTTTCGTCTTCTGTTGCGCATGGCTACTGCAGAGATAGTAAATACGATAGCAACCAATACCAAAGCTGCTACAATCCCCACTGTTATCAGTTGCAGTTGTGAGAGGCTGCCATCTACAGAGAGAGAGAGAGAGGAGTGACAATCTTCTCACCATCACTTTACGAATGATTAATTTAGCATTTGATAAATGGTACCAGTTTACAGCAAATATAATTGGGCTTAGTTCTCTTAGGAGTCAAATCAGCATTCAGGCTATGAGAGATTATCCAATGTAAAATCTGAATGCAAACTTCAGGTTCAACACTCTGATCCTTCAAATTTATCGTGGTAAATAGTGCATTCATGTATATAAAAATAGCTTGGTGCAATTCACTAGAATGAATTTTCATAATAAAAATAATAATCCTTACATTTGATATAGGACCTTATTACATCGTTGTGACATCTCAAAGCCTTCACAAAATATACGATGAATTCACTGCATTCTTTTGGGGGAATTTAGAACTATGTCAGGACTTTGGGAGCGAAAAAAGTTATTGGAGAGAAAAGGCAGCAATTTAATGCATACTACTTTGGCCTACTTTCTAGAAGCCAGCTTACTAGGCTTCATTAGCAAAGGATAGAGAGAAAGCTGCTTGCCTGATCAGTGGCATGGGTAGAGGTGGAAATATTCCATTCAGCAATCAGACACCAGACTAGAAAGGTTCACAAGAACGGTTTGGATGAAGAAGGCCATTTGACCCATTTGATTTCATTTTTTCAGAATACCCATCTTACCATCCTCCTATCACAGCATTTGGGCCTCAATCCCCTTTCTGGTAATTTGTTCTTTTTAAATAGAAGAAATGCTTCCTATCCTGGTGCCTGAACTGAAATTCCACTTTGCAACCCAACCTGTGTCCCCTGCATTGATGAATACTAAAGTATTGTTCTGTGTTTACATTCTCAATCCAATTTCAAATGTCGTATACTCTTTAAGTCTCCTCTAAAACATCTCCTTTGACTAAAGAGCCCTTGTAATATTGTGGAGCGCTGTAGCTCAGTGGTTAGAGCACTCGCCTTGCAAGCGAGACACCTGGGTTCAATTCCAGGCAGAGCGAAACCTTGGGCAAGTTTCCTTACTCTACACATCTGATAATAATCCCTCCAAAAAACAATAACAAATTGGTCATTTTCAATCCACGACTGTTTTGGGACACTGCTGTCCTTAATTGGCTGCCGCATTTCGCCCACAAATATATGGTCAATTCACTTTACAGTATATTCTGTGAAGCACTTTGAGACGTCTAGAAGACGTAAAAAGCACTATATCAAATGCAAGGATTATTATTATAACCATTGTTGATAGCTTATTTCTTAAAAGTAGGGATCATCCTTGTTCTCTTGTGCACTAGCTCTCGGGTGTTCCAATGAATAGGGCAAGCTATGAATGGCACAGGTCGAATGAATCTTAAACAGTTCAAGTCCTCCAAGCTGCTCTTCTTCCACACATACTTTATTTAATATAAGTTTCAATCCATCAATGGATGGAGCCAATCCAGCTGAAAGTGCTATAGACTCGATGCTCACTTTTTGTTTCCCCAAAGGGAGTATGAAAACATTTAGAGTGAACTTACTTGGCCATTGAACTTCATAGGTATATCCAAAGTTTTCAGCTGCAGGCTTAAACATTTCAGCATTGGTAATAGGAGGCCAAAAGGGGACAATGTTGTAACCTCGGTTATGGCCTATTGGAGCGTTTTCAAATGGAAAGACGGATGCATCTGAAAGAGGGGGTTAAAAGTAATTTAAGCAGGTTTTATTATCATCAGGAGATAATCAGGATAACATTACAAAGTCTTAACAACAGTATTACATCTAGTCATTAAGACAGCCAGTAAATTAAATCTTCTGTAAAGTATCAAAACTCCTATAGAGGAATGTCATAAGTATATCATAAGTGGTATATGAACATGAATGGAGAGGCAGAAATACATATTTTAAGATACACTCAATAGCCTTTCTTCTACGTATTCATTGCATAGAAAGTATAAAGCCAGAGATGGTGGCGGTGGTAGTATAGATTACAATTACATCAACCACAACCTGCATTTATATAGCGCTCTTCACGCAGGGTAGTGTCCCCAAGTGCTTAAGAGTTGCAGAGCCTGATGCCGAGCCTGGGGAAAGGGAAGAGGTGAACGTAATAGGAAGATCTTCGGGGGTGATCTGAATATGGGGAAGGAGGGATAAGGTGGAGGGATTGAGGGAGAGAGTTCCAAAGTTTTGGGGTGTAGTGGTTGAAAGTTGACTGCACATGCTTGTAAATATATTCAAGATGTACTTCTCACACATGCTGCTAGCAACAAAACTGCATTAGCAAACTGCTAATTTGAAGACAAGCTTGCTGTGTTACCTGCTTGACTTCTCTTCAGCCATTCATCAAAGATTGCGTCAGTAAAGGTATGCAGTAAGACAAAGATTGGATCATTTGGAGACAAGTGGGTTTGTCCTCCAGTTCCATTCAGGAATAAGTGAGCCAGGTTATGTAAGCTACGAACAGCTGGGTCATACTTTCCGGCAGGATCATTATAGCCTGCAATTGAGTGAGAGAGGCTATAAACAGACATACAACACAAAGGCAAGGCTCATAGAAAACTATTTGCTTCATGTCTCCTTTTTTATGTAAGTGATCTACAAATCATCAGTGTGATCGTACTTGGAATACTGTGTACAGTTCTGGTCTCCACAGTGCAAAAAGGATATTGCAGCGATTGAGAGGATTCAGAGGAGGGCAACCAGAATGATTCAGTGGATGGAGAGACTGGATTATGAGGAGTGATTCAATAAACTGGGCATGTCCATGCTGGAAAAGAGGAGATTGAGAAGTGATATGATTGCTGGTTTTAAAATTCTAAAGGGACTGGATAATGTAGACCATGGCAAGCTGTTTCATCTTGTCCAGAACAGTAGAACCCAGAGAACACCCCTCCGATTGAAGTGGGGGGTAAGTAAATTCAAGACTAATCTGTGGAAACACTATTCCAGTGAGTGAGTGGTAAATCTATGGAACATGCACTCTAGGGAGACGGTGGAAGCAGAAAGTTTTGATTCATTCAAATACAAATTAGATATATTCCTTTCAAGAAATAATATGTTGGGATACAGTATATGAGTAATTTGAGACATGATATCATAAGTGTAGTATATTTGGAAGTACTTGGCATTAAATTTGGAATCAACTGAAAAGATTTCCTCAATCCCTTTGTATTTATACAGAATTAAAAAAATGCAAGGAACTTAACAAATCCTGTTAAAATCTGAAACTGGGGGTTAACTGAAAACAAAGAGGAACAACAGGCACAAAGGACAAACTATCCTTAAGTTATGAAACTTAATCAATATCAATTTCCAGGGGATAAGTCCATTCTCTAAACCAACAAAATTATTCCAGAAACAGAACAAGCAAAATGAACAGTACCCAGGAAAAATAATCAATAAGGCTGATGATCAAAATACCCCTCACATCCATTGTTGGAGATGTGTGGAAAATTCAGTATATACAGTATAGATAAACGCTGCATGATTTTTTTTCACATAAGCATTGCATAAAGCTGCTGATTAACCAGATTGTAGATTATAAGAGACACTAGTGGACAGTGCTCTGTGGAACACAATATGAATGTGCAGCTAATTCACTTTACAGTATATTTTGTGAAGCACTTCGAGATGTCTTAACGACGTGATAAGGTGCCATATCAAATGCAAGGATTATAATTATTATGAGGCTGCTGAGAGGTCAGAATTGATTTGTTCACAAGATTGATTTTCTGATATCCTTTTGAGACAGAAGGCTGTATAGACAGAAGCGATTGGGAATTTTATAAAGGGAAATATGGGTTTTAAGGGGTGTGGGGATACTAATTTTAAAAGCTAACTAAGAGCCCACATAATTCAATCCATAAAGAGTGAAGCCTTGAAAGAGTTTCTCTTGTGATGTAGAACATTACTGTATGTAGTCTAAAGAAACTACATTATCAGAATGCTGTGCCCATTCTAAATTAAATCTCCATTATTCACATAGACATTTATTGTAAGCATACTTACCTTCAACAGTGTTTCGAAAGCTATCCGATGAGTTGGAAAAGAAAGGTGGTGTGTCATACGGCGATACATCTAAACACTGTGCCACATCCTCAGGTGAGGGAAGTCGTTGAACGGCTGGCCGGGCAACATTCCCACCAGGATTCCTTTGGATAGGACCTCCCTCAGTACCTGTGCAGAGTAACAGCATGCAGCATTTAGGGCAGTTTTCAATAAGCTGATCTATAGTACTCCCAGACTAAACAGACCACTGTTATGCTGAAGCACTGTGTCACTGACGGAGCAGCTTAAAGTTCGACCAGTGCAATTTCACGATGCATTAGAATAGCAAAGAACTGGTAGTTTGTTCGATATAATGGTCCATTCTTTTCCACTGATTAGGGTGTCAGCCTGGCTCAGGTGGTCATATTCACATCTCTGACCCTGGCTTGCCTCCACTATCTAGTTTCCTGTCCACGAACATAGGAAGTTGTCCAGCGAGTGGCAACTTTGCCAACAGGCAGTTTCATCGATCATCCAGTCTGCCTGTTCAGGTGGACATTAAAGATCCCGTGACAACTATTTAAAAAAGAAATGGGAATTTGTCCTTGCCAACAATCCCTCATATTAAAATCGATTATTCACATCATGGTTGTTTGTGGCACATTGCTGCGTTCAAATTGGCTGCAGCATTTGTCTACAAAATAATTACTATACTTCAGAATAAATCCTGCGATATGGTTTTCGGTGCTGACAGTATGATTATGTAAGGCTGATTATCAGAAACGGGCAAAGCTTTCTATTTGATTATTGTATCAAAGGTGATACATTTGTGGAGTCCTGTAGCTCAGTGGTTAGAGCACTCGCTTTGCAAGCGAGAGACCTGAGTTCAATTCCAGGCAGAGGGCGAAACCTTGGGCAAGTTTCCTTACTCCACACAGAGCCTAATAATAATCCCTCCAAAACCAAAACCAATAAAAAAATTGGTCATTTTCAATCCATATGACTGTTTGTGGAACATTGCTGTGCGCAATTGGCTGCCGCGTTCGCCCACAAATATACAGTCAATTCACTTTACAGTGTGTTCTGTGAAGCGCTTTGGGACGTCCTCCCGACGTGAAAAGCGATATATCAAATGCAAGGATTATTATTATTATTATTATTACATTTATGTCGCATGATATCTTTCAACACGATGAGAGGTATTAAAGAGCTATTATGCATGCTTAATAATAAAGTGGTTACCATTGCAGATAGTTCCCAAGGTGTTATAGTCTTCTATACTTTCACAGAGATTACGCCATTCAGAAAAGACAGAGTTAGGACTTATAAGCACAGAGTCAAAATTGCTTCTGGCTCCCATTAGATCATCTGTGCAGACATCACAGGTGTTGCCTCCAGTGGCAAAGTTCCAGTATGGAAGTGTAAACAAGGGATCCTGCAGCATTACCTGTATTGTAGAGAGAAGCAGTAAAATTTAATCGAATAGAGAATTTTATAGCACAACTGGTCCATTGTGTTTATGTCCGGCACTGTAAGAGGTATATACTAATCTAGTCCCACTCCCTTGCTTTTTTAACCACACTGTTACCTTATATCTTTTCAAATATTTGTCAAATCCCCTCTTTAAAAGCAGTAATGGATTATGTATCAATTTGTGATATATGAGAGATGAAGGAAATTTACCAACAAGCAGTTGTTTGATATATATATATATATATACACATACACACACACAATAATTTTCTCTGCCTCGACTCAATACATCCTCCTCCTTGCTTTCAAAGCCCTCCACGGCCTTCCTCCTCCATTCCTCTGTGACTTGCAAACTCCATACTGACCTGTCCTCTCCATCTGCTCAGCGGACTTTGGCCTGCTCTGTGTCCCCCGCCCCGCCCGGCCCAACCCACCATTGGCAGTCGGGCCTTCAGCCTTTCTGCTCCCACCCTCTGGAACTCCATCCCACAGTCCCTCCACCTCGCCCCCTCCCTTGCCTTCTTCAAGGCCTGTCTCAAGACCCTCCTCTTCAACCGTGCATTCAGTCACCCTCCTACCCCTACTGATCCCAGGCCCCTGCTCGGGTGCTTGAAGCTTCAGGGCCTGGGGACGTCCTCCTGATGTGAAAGGCGCGATAGAAATATCATTTGTTGTTGTTGTTAAACCCATATTCTGTTAGCTACGTCTCCAAGGGATTCAGAAGATTTACTGTAAAGTGTAGTAACTGTAGCCTCCCCTCCCCTCCCACCTGCATGTCTCTCTCCAGCTGCAGCAGGTGGAAGCGGTGCCAGGTGAGGAAGGCGGGACCCTCATGTGAGAAGTCCACGCCCCCGAAGCTGCGCCCATCGCCCAGGTAGGTCCTGCTCACGGAGTAGTAGTGCGTCCACACGAACAGGTTGTAGATGGAGACGTTGTCGAACTGCGGGCTGCGGCCGTCGCTGCCCAGGATGTCGGCGTAGTGTCGGGTGGCGACCACCATGTCGGGGTGGGGGGTGGTCTTGGCCAGGTGCAGGGCTCGTACCAGCCTCGCCCTCTGGCTGGTGCTCAGGCTCAGCACGTCCCTGCGCACCCTCAGCACCGGCTGCTGGCAGTCAGCGCCCGCCCAGCCGAAGCGGCACTGGCCGCACTTGTAGCCCTGGTAGTTGGCCGCGCAGCGGCACGTGCGGTTGAAGAAGCGCAGCGGCCAGCGCTCGCGGTCATCCTCCCCGTCGTGCGGATACTGGGGTCCGTGCGGCGCGGGGTCAGCCCGCAGGTCGGCGCACGAGCCGCGCCCCAGGCTGGAGCCGCAGCGGTCCCCGGGCTCCGCGGTGAGGGCCGGGCAGCACTGGCCACTCTGCAGCACCTCCAGCCCCGCACACTCTCGGGGGAACTGGGCTCTGACCCCCTCCACCAGCACCACCAGCAGCAGCAGCCCCCGCCGGGCAGCCGCAGGCAGCAGCATCTACACCAACAACAACAACAACAACACAGATAAACCCCAAAGTCACATTCATTATTTTTATTTTAAACCTTTTTGGCCTCAAAATCCAGATTTTTGTGAATTTTTTTAAAAAAAAATTTGCAGAATAAATCCAGACATTTGTGGGTTTTTTAAAAAAAAATATCAAAACTTACCATAAACGATCGAAGGTTTTGCTAATCTTAATGTTAACAAAAAACTTACTATTAAAGTCTGGAAGTTTTGTTGGCTTCTATTCTTTTTAAATCTTAATGATAAAAGTCCGAAGTTTGCTCATTTCATTTTGCTTTTTGTTTAGAAGAAAATAACAGTTTTACCGTAAAAGTCTGGAGATTTGCTCATTTTATTTTCAATCTTACCATTAAAGTCCAGGAGTTTGCTGTTCTTATTTTCTTTTCAACAACAATCTTTTTATGATGAAAGTCTAGAAATGTTCTAATTTAAAAAAAAATCGAACCATAAAAGTCCAGAAGTTTGCAAATCTTTTTTTTTTTTTTTTAAAAAAATCTTCCCGCAAAAGTAACCCTGAACTGATTTTATTAAATAACTGCACTAAATAACTGATCGCCTTTCCACACTAATCCTTTCCAAGCCAATAAATTCTCCTAAATACTCAATTATCCCATGACTTGTCTGATGTCTGTTATCCTCGTGATTTCAAATCTTTCACTGAAGAGTGAAGCTGCTTGAGGTTTCATAACAAACATGTAAAATGTGTTGGTTCATACAAATTGAACCCAATTTGCAGCAACACCCTCAGCTCTTTTGCTTCTCCCACACTGGGGGATTGAGTGGCAACCATTGACAAGAAGGATCATTAATCAGGACTCACAAACCTCACTCCTTCAGGCAAACAGAAGCTGGTCACACAGGACAATAACTGCAAATTAGGCGCCCTTTATAATAATAATAATAATAATAATAATCCTTGCATTTGATATAGCGCTCTTCACGTCTTCTCGACGTCTTAAAGCGCTTCACAGAATAGACTGTAAAGTGAATTGACCGTATATATTGGCGGCAGCCAATAGGGCACAGCAATGTCCCACAAAATGAATCCTTGGTTCAATAAAGTGCTTTTCACATCGCGAGCACGCCTCAAGCACTACACAGAATTTATTATGAATTGCAGAGACTGCATTTTGCAGACAAGCGCAACAACTAATTTGCACAAAGGAATGTCCTACAAACAACCAAGTGAGGGACTAATTTTATTTTGGGACCCTCTCACCCCCATCCTCGCCCGACTTCACTGGCTTCCCATCACACAGAGGATACAGTTCAAGATCCTGGTCTTCACTTTCAAAGCCCTTCATGGCCTCGCCTCCTACTACCTCTGCGATCTCTTATCCGCCCCTATCATCCCTCCCACTCCCTTTGCTCAGCGGGCTCCGGCCTGTTTCACGTTCCCCGCCTTGCCTGCCCCACCATTGCACTGGAATTCCAGCTTAGACCGTTTGAGGTCCTGAAGTCACAGCTCAGCCTGACCTCTCTCCATCTGACAGCTACCACAACCAGGGGGTGGTACTGTAGAAGGTCCAGCCCCCAACCCCTCTGGAGTTTAGCCTCTCCCCCTGTCCTTATGTATATAGTTTTATATAACAATAATCTATCTCTACTAATAAAGACAAAATGTCTGTCTGTGTGTCAATCTACATTCCATATTGGATCCTTTGGTTGCAAGCGAAGCTGCAATGGGTACAGCCAGTTAACTGTAAAATAGATAATTATCACATATCTCCTTCAGCATGAGATTATGTACTAAATGACTGATAAACCATGGTATATGAAGCATTAAACAGCTGTCATGTGCTGCCATAATACCTCATAACTATACAGTTGACTTGATATTTAGTCTCTCAAATAATTTGTTTAAACTATTCTTTAAACAGCATTTAAAGTGTGCCTGTCCATTCACATCAAATAAAAGCCACAGTAAATCCACATGATTGGAGACTCCCTGCTCTTACCTTGTGAGGTAAAGCTGTCTCACCTTGCTGTGTCCAGTCAGTGGTACTCTTGAGTATCTCCTCTCGCTCAATTCATAACCCTTTGCAGGTCACTGTTGTGCGTGATCTCTCCCTTCTAATTTTGATGACCAGCAGAATGAGCCTGGCATATTGCAGAGCTGATGTCTAACTGAAGTAGTTCAGCAACATAAAATTATACGAGTCACATTGTAACTAGTATCCTAGATTTTTTGGGACTTCTTTTCTGAGCATTTGAGTGACGTGGATGTGTTGTGTGAAAATGTAAATTTTCTGCCTTGCCAATATTGGTGGGTCTGTCATTACTGTTTATACTGTTGAGAACAGCAATTACAGCTGCCATTTAAACCATGCAAAACACGATTTTCATTATCAGTCTCAGTGTCTGAGGCCTTCTCAACTTAGGGTATTGAGTCACGGTTCCAATGGGCAGCAAGTCTTAGATATATGCAGGTTGCTGCAGTTTTAGCAGGGTGTGTTGAGGATTCAGTGATAGGAATGCCATGTTTAATTCCCTCTATCCATAACCTATTTGATAATAATAATAATACTTGGATTTGATATAGCGCCTTATCACGTCTTTGAGATATCCCAGAACGCTTCACGGAATATATTGTAAAGTGGATTGACTGTATATTTTGTGGGCGATATGTGGCAGCCAATTGTGCACAGTAGTGCTTCACACATTGGTGATCAACTGAGTGGATTGAAGGATCAATTTATTATTTTTTATATTATTTTCTTTCTTTTTTTGGAGGGTTATTACCAACAGACAATGTCAATATAATACTTCAGGGGCATTTGAGGATTATTGTAATTGGTACTGATACAAGGTGGAGTCCTGTAGCTCAGTGGTTAGAGCACTCGCTTTGCAAGTGAGAAACCTGAGTTCAATTCCAGGCACAGGGCGAAACCTTGGGCAAGTTTCCTTACTCCACACAGAGCCTAATAATAATCCCTCCAAAAAAAAAACAATAATAAATTGGTCATTTTCAATCCACGACTGTTTGTGGGACATTACTGTTGTGGAAAGTGTGGGAATGTAACATCTTTGGGCAATCGCAAAAGTTACAGAATAAAATAAGCAAAGGTAATGAGACAAAACATGTTTTCGCATTTGGTGTAAGCTCAGCTTTGTTTTGGTTTCGCAACTATCAATGTATATGTTATTGTGCTAAGGAACCCGGGACCCATATCTCTTTTTATGAAAGAAACAGACATCCAATTATGGGAAAATGGAACATGTATAAAGGTCAGATGTTGTTTTTCTCTGGTGTGCAGTGTGGGGAGCAGTACCTTGGGAGAGTTGTTGCTACCGCTCTGCACCTCATATATATATAAAATAAAGCTTTTTGAATGTATACCGCACTGACTCCGTGTTGAGTTTTCAGGTCTTTAAGAGCAATTGCACATCACAATCTGGGTTTAACACTGTGCGTAATTGGCTGCCGCGTTTGCCCACAAATATACAGTCAATTCACTTTACAGTGTGTTCTGTGAAGCGCTTTGGGACGTCTTCCCCACATGAAAAGTGCTATATCAAATGCAAGGATTATTATTATATTGATTGTCTTGACTCCGAGAGCACTAAAATACAATAGGTATTTACAGTGAGGAACTACATGTAGAGGTTGAGAACCAGTTTGTACTGTTGAAAGTATGGTGAGATTGCTTAATAACTCACTCTCCCTGTCCTTCCACTATTTATCATTTGTGGCATTTCCAACTGCAGATTTCACCAATGTAAAATAATTAACATTTTAAACATTCAGTTAAAATAATTCAAGAGAGGATATTGCCCATGAGAGGTGCAGGTACAAAGCTCGTTGACAGATGTGCTAATAACAATACAAATCCTTACATTTGATATTGCACCTTTAACACCGGGAGGACGACCAAAACACTTCTCAGGATTTACTGTAAAGTGGAGTGACTGTATTTTTGTAGGTGAATGTGGCAGCACAATGTTGAACACAGCAATGTCCCACAAAACAGCCATGAAGTGAATGACGAATTGTATTTGGGGGATTGTCGGCCAGGACACCTGGAAGAAACTCCCTTCTCTTTACATACAGTGTCATAGAATCATTACATCCACCTGAACAATCAGACAGGACCTCAAATTAACATCTCATCTGAAGGATGGCACCTCCCAATGCAGCACACCCTCAGCACTGCACTGGAGTGTCAGCATAGACTTTATAATTTCCATCACCTGATGTGGGACTTGAACCCACAACCTTCTGACTCAGAGGTGAGAGTGCTATCGACTGAGCCAGTTCGATATGCTAGTTCTAGCTATGGATAGTATGAAGAAATACCGAACGGTTCAGCTTAAAACTGTACCCTCCTTCCCCACACTCTATAGAGCGTTTGTGTGGCCAGAGAGAGTTTGCAAGTTTTCACTTTGAGAGCTGCAAACATAGTTCAGCCTGTTTTCAATGAATAAGGTACAGTGTGAATAATATGAAAGTTATCAGCAGCATCCCTTGAAAGGACAGAGCCCCAAGTGATAGTCATTGATAAAATGCTATTCATCAATCTGTAGTCAGAAGGCGTCACAGGAGCTCTGGCCTTTTGTCAACCTTTACTGCAAAAAAATCATGAGGCAATGAAAAAAATCAGAAATTGCTGGTTTAACAAACCCCTAGATGTTAAGACTTTGGCTCTTTTGCAGTAATCTTTACCGATTTCAAAACCACATTGCAAAATATTCTGTTGTAAATGTTTTTATGAGTTTGTTTTAGCACAAAAGTAATGAAAGCTCTAAATAACATTGCAGGATTAAGCTACATATACAACAGTAGCAGAGTATGTATACAGACAATAGGGAAGGAAACATCAACATAATATAAGACAGCAGTTTAAAAATAATAATTATGATAATAATCCTTGCATTTTGTATAACACCTTTGATGTCCAACAACTCAAAGCATTTTGTGAAGTTTCTGTAAAGCATGGTGATTGGTTTTGTAGGCAAACATGACGGCCAATTTGCACATAACAACGGCCCAACAACAGCCATGAGTGAATGACCAATTTTATCTGGGGGTTGTTAGTCAGGACACTGGGAAAAACTCTCTTCTGTTGTCAAATAGTGTCATGGGATCTTACTGGAGTGTCAACCTAAATAAAAGCAGTTTAAATCATTTTTATTGCAAAGTCACCTATGGGGAAAGGCTAATTGATCAGATCTTTGAAGCTTTTGGGATCAATGTGTATATCTCTTACGTGCCTTTAGAGTTCCTTTGTTGATTAATTGACCTAATTTAATAATAATAACCCTTACATTCGAAACACTTTGAGACGTCTCAAAGAGGTGCTATATCAAATGCAAGGATTATTATTATTATTACAGAGCCTTTCATGTCGGGAGGATTTCCGAAAGCTGTAATGTGGGATCATTAAACCACCTGAACAGGCAGACAGGACCTTGGTTTAACACCTAATCCGAAGAATTGCATCTCCAACAATACATTACATAATTTCCCGTGCACTGTATTCAAGTGTCAGCCTAGATTACATCTTAAAATCCCAATATAAGGCTGGAATCTACAACCATCTGACTCAGAGATGATAGTGCTACCAACTGAGGCAGGCTGATACCACAACATTTGAATTACAACAGAAATGTGATTGCATCAGTAAAGTTCTTACCAAGCCCCTTTTGAAGCATTGTGTCCTCTTTTGCTCACTTTACATGTCCAAAATCATTCACATGTGTGATACGAGAATTTATTGGTAAACGCTGGGTTTAGCAATAAACACCTTGTCCGAAGTTGAACTATACAGAAATGTTAAAAGTAAACATAATTTATACAAAAGGTGTGTGAAAGAGGGAAATGAACTACTAAAAATTTGAAATTTGGGGCATGAAAAGTTTTCCTTCATAGCTCGTGTCCAGGTCAGCTGGCTCTTGTGCTATAGCCTTTTCCACCTCGACACTTGTTTGAGATTCAGGAAACTCCTGAGGATGATTCACTCTTGAATGCAAATAATAAAAAAATTAATTGTAAATTATGTAGACAAAGTGCATCTGCACACAAATTATTGATCAAATTGGGTTGAACGTTAATAACTGCCACCTGTAAACCATAGCACCCGTCATGTGGGGTAAGGTCGCAGAGCGCTTTATAGATACATAAATAAAAAGCCCCTGCTCCCAATTTCAGACGCGCATTACTGGAATCAGCTGACTGAAGAAAAATGCTGGGGCACTTACTGTGGGTGAGTTGTTTCATTCCCTGTTACTGTGTTTTCATTGGACTCTGCATTAATCGTCTCCGCAGCCTCGCTGTCCTCACAGATTTTTGCTGGAGTTGCTTTTCTAGTAAAGATAGCAAAAAAGAACTGGAGAATCCATCTGCCATTTTGATTTAAGATTTTTTAATTTTTAGCCACATAGAAGCCTACTCTGAAGGGTTTTTTTTGGTCAGCCGGGTGTTTGACACAGATGGAAACCTATCACCATGCTTAAGAGTATCCAAACCAGACTGAGAGTTCCACATATGTATGCCACCCATACATAGAAATGTTACACTGTCTGGAATGAAATGTGCACTCTCTCTGGAGGGCCGCACACTGCTTATCTGATTCTGGAAAATACTTGGGACTAGTGAGAGCCAAGACAGGGACCCCATAATGGGTGTTGGGGTATTGCTGAACTTTAACCAGTTAAAACTCATTGAGAGCACTGTCTGCAAGCTTCCTGCTGCTTATCCAGGTTGGACTACTGTACGTGTTTAGGCTTTGGCTTATAGTTGCTGAGTGGGATGACTCCCAGCCTCCAGTGACTGGTCTGCCGTTCCTGTCGATGAGCCAGGCTGGTGTGCTGTCATCAGCAGTGCCCTGGAATGCTATAGACTGCCTGGCTCAGGAACTGGACTATCGATACCGTTACAGAGGGCTGGCTTGATGCTGACATTCTGTTACCAAACATGTCACCTTCAGCTCAAAGAAGATCCCGTTTACCTCTATCCCAAGGAGATTAATGGGAATCTTTGAGTAACATTATGCAGCATTCAGGGAACCACGAAGTAAAGGAAAGCTGGTAAAACCACAACCTGGCCACGCAACCTCCTATGAGAACAGAATCCAGCCTATTCCTCCCCGATTACACCAAGGATCTCTAATGGACCTGATATACATTTTGGTGACTCACTGAAGCACCGTTAAGAACCATTGAAATCAGTTCAATGTAAAGATTTCAGATAAGATCGACAGGTGTATATTTATCATTTTCAACGTTTCTTCATCCAGAGGCTTAGCAGAGAACAGGCACGTTTACTGCTAAGGCAGAGAACATCCCGAGCATGTTTTCAAACTACCTTCATCAGAATACAAATGTTGGACAGTGAAAAGAATGAACACTTTACCTGCTTCTCTTTCTGCATTTGGTGCAATAGACAGCAAGAGCCAGAGCCTCCAGAGCCAGAAAAGTAGCAGCAGAGATCACTGCAACTTTCCATCCCTTGATACCAGGAGTCAAGCCATCACCTGTGCAGGTAAAACAATGACAAGGTTAGAAATTCGAGGCTGAGCTTGATATCTCTGGAAATAGTGAGTTTGTATGTAGAGAGAGTTAGAAACATGCTTTTTAAAACAATATAATACCAGATTATTTGCACACAGCGATGTCCAACTAACAGCCATGAAGTGAATAACCAATTTTATTTAGGAGGCTGATGGCTAGGGCACTGGGAGAAAGTTTTTCTTTTTAATTTAGTGCCAGAGGATCCTTAATGCACATCTGAACAGGCAGTGGGACCTCAGTTTAATGTCTCTTCACCAGTAGTGCATTGAAATGTGAGCCTCGACTCTGTGAGTTCAAAGTGGGGCTTGAACGCAAAAGTAAAGATACAAATTTAAGACTGGATAGTAACCCAAGATTGTCCTGTTTCTGTAGTGGTGTTGTCTTCACCACAAACTACCTGAGTTATGCCTATAAGTATTAAACAGTATGAGTTCTTAAACTAGTCTGAGTATTCCATTATTAAACAAATTCACACATCTTCTGGGTCTCAGACACATCTTTTCTTTCTATAATCTCCCACTATTGCCTTCTTTTGTATTACACCGTCAATACCTCTGATCTCATCATCTACTGTCCTTCTCATTTTTTGCTTTTTGTCTTTCTCTCCCCGCCCCCTTCTCTGCTTGTCTTTCTAACATCCCCCAGTTCTGATGAAAGGTCATTGACCTGAAACATTAACTTACTCTACTCTCTCCATAGATACTGCCTGACCTGCTAAGTGTTCCCAGCAACGTCTGTTTTTGTTTCAGATTTCAAGCATCTGCAGTATTTTGGCTTTTGGTATAATAATCCTTGCATTTTATTATCACAGAATCATAGAATTATATAGAAGGAGGCCATTCAGCCCATCGTGTCTGTGCCGGCTCTTTTATCCAAATCAATCCTGAATCAATCCCACTCCCCCGCTCTTTCCCCATAGCCTGCAAATTTGTCCTCCCCAAAGAACCTTGTCACGTCTTCGAGACTTCTCAATGTACTTTACAGAATATACTGTAAAGTGAATTGACTATGTATTTTGTAGGCGAAACGTGACAACCAATTGCACACAGCAGGGTCCACAGACAGTTGTGGATTGAATGACCAAATTATTATTTAAACAATTGTTAAACAGAATTGTGTCTTGCCTTGGAGAATTGGGTCTCATTTGGATGCTTTGTGCAGCGAATGTTTTGATGTGGCCCAAACAATATTTACAATATTTTGCTCAACAAGTACAACAACAAAACAATGCATTTATATAGTGCCTTTTACCTCAAGAGGATGTCGCAAGGCGCTGGACAGTTGAGGGGTTTGCACTCGAGCTGGGGGCTGGATTTGGGAGGGGTGGGAGCCTCGATCCTCAGGGAGATGGAAAGACAGCGGAGAAACCCCTTTCTGAATCAAGTCACGGTATCTTTAACACCCACTTCAACAGGGATGTTAGATAGTCAAAGAGGAAAGTCTTGAACGGACCTTGAAGGAAAGGAATGGCCAAGGCGAAGGGGCTCTGGGATGGAGTTCCAGAGGGTGTGGGGAAGAAGGCTGAAGGCCAATTCAGTTCATTTCAGTTCAGTAAGTTTTGCAAAGTTGTTTAGGTGCACTTATTAAGAAGGTCACTTGAGTAAATTCAATAAACTTCCCAATACAGGGGAATATCTTTCAGTCAAATCAACAATTTTGTTGTCACATAGAGCAGCACCAAATGAGTTAAGTAGAATCTGCTTGTGGAATGTAAAATCTGATCAGGCATGAACACTCTTGAGTAATCAAGTCAGATGCCCCATTTATTCTACAACCCCTGTGGAGAGTACATTCAGCTTCAATTAACGTGACTAGACCTCAAGCCAGTCATTACACTGGCTTGTTCATACATAGTTCATGCTTCAGGCATTTAGCACTGGGCCTTGTTAAAGTATCAGCCAAATTCATGTGACTAATTTTCGTTTTGGGCAATAAAAACCCAAAGGATTGATTTTGGGTCGACCTATGTTCGAAGTGCAGAGAGGTCCTGGACTTCTTTATCTCTAAGATAGATAACATCTGCCCGGCTGCCTTCACCTCTTCCGCCCTCATGTCGCCTACCACCCCACCCCCTATGCCTCCTTCATCACCCTCTCCTCCTACCATGGCTCCTACCAAGACTCCCACCCTACACTCCCTGTGCCCCCATCTCTCCCTTCTCCCTTTACTCCAACATCACCCATATGAAGCCCACCACATGCTGCCTCGACCCCCTCCCTACCCAGCTTCTGGTCACTCAACTCCCCTACCTTTGCCCACTGCTGGCTGACACAATCAACCAGTCCCTCTCCTTCGGCTCTGTCTGCGTTCAACACAATTGATCATGCCATCCTCCTCCACCGCCTCTCCTCATCCACCTCAGTGGGACTTCACTTGCATGGTTCAAATCCTACTTAACAAACTGCCAACAATATATCTCAGCAAATTGTTTTTCCTCTGCCCCGGCCTGGTCACCTGCAGGGTACCAAAGGTTCCATCCTTGACCCCCTTCTTTTCCTTATCTACATGTTCCCTCTCAGCGATGTCATCCTCAGACATGGGGTGAACTTCCACATGTATGTGGATGACACCCAAATCTACTTCTTCTCCATCAGTGACTCCCAGTCCGCTGATGTTTTATCAGCTTATTTGACAAACATCAAGGCCTGGATGAGCGCAAATTTTCTGCAGCTGAATGTCGGCAAGACCGAACTCGTACTTTTTGGCTCCCATCAACTTTCTCCTGCGGGTCTGAACTCCTCAACCTCCCCGGGCTCTCCCTCAGACTCACCGAACCCACGTGCAATGTAGGCATTAGGTTCGACCCACAGTTTTCCTTTCTACTACACATCCGTTCCCTGACTAGGACCGTTTTTTTCATCTCTGTCATATTACTCACCTCCATCCGTAACTCACAATCAAAGCAGCCGAAACCCTCGTCCACCTGCCTACCTATCCGGCCTCCTTACACCCCACTCCACAACCTGCTGCCTCTGCTCGGCTGGCTCCGGCCTTCTGTTTGTTCCTCGTCCCCTCCGTTCCACCATCGTTGGCTGTGCCTTCAGCCACTACGTCCCGAAACTCTGGAACTCTCCCTCAATCCCTCTGTTTTGCCCCCTCCCTCCCCACCTTCAAACCCCACCTAAAGACTTTATTTTTTGATTGTGCTTACGGTCACCTCCCCCCTCCCTCTCCGCTGGTTCGGCATTAGACTCTGCCACTGTCAAGCGCACCAGGACGCTACCCCACGCGAAGGGCACTATATACAAGCAAGTTGTTGTTGCATGTTACTTTGGAGCTCTAATGTAGAGAAGTAGGCTTTTTTGCTTTAGTTCAGGTTGTTGCCGTTGACAATAATTGTTCAGTTAATTTTTTTTTAACTCCCTTCATTATAAAAAGAGTCGTTCCTTCTCTTAGACTCCCATATGCTCCAGCCAGTGGAGATTATCAGGATTACTGATGCTGGTGGAGGGGAGACTGAGCACTTTTTCAATGCTGTCTTGGTTCTCAATTCTACATTTACATTGTTAGATGTGAGCTCTGAAACAATGCCACTGATATTTACAGGAAAGGACCGTTCTCTTGAATTATCATAATCGAGATGTTTACGTAAACAACCTTAAGCAATTTAGTACTAGTTGTAAATAGTTGCATGGTTTTACATACATTTACATACACTGCATAGCGCAGAAACAGGCCATTTGGCCCAACTAGTCCATGCTGTTGTTTATACTCCATATGAGTCTCCACTCACTCCTTACTCCCTCCCTTATTCTCTTCTCCCTCATGTGTATATCTAATTTATGGATTGTTCAAAAAAGTTAACTATAGGGCAGATGTCAGATTAACACAGTCCTGCAAGTTGTTGAGTCACACTTTCACATACTGCTCTGGGCCTCATCATATGATGATCATGATCATGCTGAACAAAAGATCTACAAACTAAGTGGTGGAAAAACTATATAAATGTACATGAATGGGCTTTGTATAGAATTGTTTGCTTTAGCAGCAACTGACACCAGTGTAAGGTTGCTCTCCGAATGTGATCTGTGACTGCGTGTGTGAACAGTTGGCATTGCTCTCCTGTCTTGTCAACGTGTGATTCTCTGGGGCCAAAATTACAGTGAGGAAATAATAAGGAATTCTGATTGGAATTCTGTTTGGCCGATGAGTTCTTGGCTCCGGAATAAAATTGTGAAATGTGGGTTTGTATGTTTAACGTTTGTTTTTCAGGATTGATCTGCCAAGGAGGAGCACAAAAAAATATACGAAGAACGTACAGGAAGAAAGCAGGTCATTCGGCCCAAGCAGTCTGATGGTGTTTATACTCCACGTGAGCCTACACCCATTCTTTACTCCCTCCCATATCCTTCTATACTCCTCTTCCTCATTTGAAGGGTTAGCTTCCTCTTGAATACATCTGTAATTCACATTGGCAAAGAGTTAATGTTTGGTATGTACATGTATTACCAATTGGTGTAGCGTGTACGGTGAAAGAATCCAGTGTTGGGATTTCCCCGGCTGTATCTTCCAAAGTATTGCCAAGTGTTGGAGCAGCAGATTCTTTTTCAGAGGTCAAGTGTTCATCGTCAGAAACAAGAATTTCATTTCGGTTGTTAGATGCCTTATAGACTTCAACATTCACTCTGTTGGTTCCTTCGGTTGATCCTGGAGTCTTTGGGACCTTTGACTGTGATAGCAAGTAGGTGTGAAGAGGAGTCTGGGTGACAGCTGAGACAAGAGGGAAATACTTAGCAATGGAATGAAAATTAAGGTTTCCTTCTCATATCCACCTAAAACTTTTTCTAGCTCTCTAAATCAAGCCACCCTAACAACCGCACTGAAATAAACAAACAGGGAACATTGCAGAAATTATATATTCTTTTAAGTATTTGATTCAAGGTGCATCATAATACTGATAATAATCCTTTCATTTGTTACATCACCTATCACATCGGGAAGGATGTTTCAATGCACTTCACAAGATTTACTATAAGTGCAGTGATTGGGTTTTGTAGGTGAACTCAGCAGACAATTTGTGCATATAGTGTTCATCAAACAGCCGTGAAGTGAATGACCAGTTTTATTTGAGGGATTCTTGGACAGGATCATCATCTGAACAGAAACAGTTCCCAGATGACATAGGAAAATTGTGTCAGGACTTTGATCACATTTAAACATTCACCTTAATCATAAGTGCATAACTGTCAGCTGCATTTGCCCACCAAACACAGCCACTGTATTTTACAATATATCCTGTGAAGTGCATTGGGACGTCCTCCTGATGCGAAAGGTGCCATATTATTATAAATATGAATATCACTCATTGCTTCATGCTTTAATTTCATCTCTCTGAAATACAAACCTTGTTGTGTTTTGCTAAACAACTTTGTTGTAGTTTCTGAAGTGGTTAAGCTGGCATTACGCTCGCCCCCAAGGGAAGATTCTGAGTAGTTTTGAGCAATTGACGTGTACAGTGTTGTCAGGACACCTGCTTCATCAGATGTGTCTGTTTGTGATGAACTATTGTCTACAACAAGGAAAAAAACCATCTCTTTAAGAAGTATTTCAAAATCAAGTTCACTTGATTGGTTACAGATCCAGAAATAGCTACTTTTGTCCAGAACATTCATTCACCCACAAAACACAGTCACTACATCTTACAGTATATCCTGTGAAGCACTTTGGGATATCCTCCTGACATGAAAGCGCTTTACCAAATGTAAGGATTATTAATAGAACACCAAGTTTATGTAGAACTATGAGATGAACTGGGAGGAATTTTCATTTTTGTTTTTAAAAAGAATTAAACACCTTTGTGCAATGTGCACTACATTTCTATTGTGTTACAGTTCAGATAGAGATGGTTATATTGAATTAGAATTTCCAAATGCGCAGTAGAGTAACAGATATTATTGCAATTTTATTATGTTCAATTGCATAAGCTCATAAGAAGTTTCAGAAAATGAATGAGGAAATTAAGCCTAACAAACCTGTCTCTTTTGGATTTATCTAAGCCCCTGTCTTCTAACCATCTGCCATGATGACATCTCTTTCCAGAAACAGATCTAATTCCACTTGAATCTACTTACACTAGGCAATGATAACTGGAGTCTATTGGAGATTTATAGATAGATACAGACTGAAATTAAGAAATGCCTCATTTTCTATTTTAGATGGCTATGGGAGAGTGAAGTAACTGTGGTATTCCATAATAGATTTCTTAATAAGAAATGTGTGTGTATTTATCAACCTTCTAAAATGTTAAATATTTAATGTTTTAGAAATTAACGGTTATGCATTTCGTATGAATAAACTATTAAGAAATGCCACACATTAGATCAAAGTGCCACAATGACACTTCAGTGTTAATTAATAAATTCATAAATCTATTACCATTGGTATAAACATTTCTGCCCATCTTCTCTTCTTACTCTTACTATTTCTGTTGCTAATAAATAATTTGACAAACTGATCCCCTTCATAATCTTGCAAAATTTCAATTATGTCATCTGAAAATGCCCTTTCCCAATGAAAACAAGCCCAACTCAAATAACCTTTCCCCGAAACTTATAATAATAATCCTTGCATTTGATATAGCGCTTTTCACGTCTTCTGGACGTCTCGAAGCCCTTCACAGAATATACTGTAAAGTGAATTGACTGTATAGTTGTGGGCGAAACCGGCAGCCAATTGCGCACAGCAGTGTCCCCAAAAGAGTCATGGATCGAGTGACCAAATTTTTATTGTTTTTTCTTAAGGATTACTATCCCCGGAAAAGCAATCTGCCAATTGACTAACAACCGGGTTCCTACTTACTGCTAGGTAAACAGAGGCGTGCGGAGTAAGGAAACTTGGCCAACATTTCACCCTGCGGGGAATAGAACCCAGGACTCTTGCTTGCGGGGTAAATGCTCTAACCACTGAGCTACAGGACTAAATATCTGGAATGTTAACAGTATCAGGTCTTTCACTTGGAGGAGAGAGGTATGGAGGCACTCACTTTTGATTTTAACGTTTTGCACTAAATGATTTTAAACTGCATTTTGAAAAGTGGTGATTCTGCTGATTGTCACAGGTCGGGCCAATAGTCAAAATGTTTATCTGAAATCTCACAATTTCAGAATTTACAGTCATTAAATATCTCTTGTTACTCAATTCAGGCCAATAACATTTAGGAATATTTAATATGAATAGTGTCAAACTGAGATGTCAATTTCCAGATTGATGCTTTTACCCTCATAATCCTTCAATCAGGCCTTTTGTTTCATGCACCTCTCCTGTTAGGAGAACTTGAGATTTTCCCATTTAGTAGAAATCCCACTTTACAGTGAAACACTATGGGATGTCATCCTGGCGTAAAAGGCGCTACACCAAATATAAAGATTATTATTATAAATCAAATGGGTTTCCAACAAGGAATAGCATAAAAATATAAAAAGAGCAAACTTACCCTGTGATTTGGAGAAACACAGCAGGAAAAGTCCGAGTAAGACTTTCAGCAAAGTGGATGCTGCCATGTTCATGAAATCTGATATTAACTAAAAATGATTGAAACTTCTGTACCCAGTTTGGAAGCTGCCCTTTTAGCTCTGTGAGTACAGCACACATAAGACGGTATGGGCTAAGTTACGAAAGGGGCTACTTCTGCAGCTGGGCTATTTAGCAACTAGACTTCAACTGCAATTTGACTCCACTCCAAATACCATCCTATTTGACAGCAAATTTAGTTTTGATTCCTAGAAGTCACATATTGTTTCAAAATGCCTTCAACCATTGTCTATCATTCTACACTGGGGCTTGATGCAGTCTTCAGTTAGGTGGCTGGCATGCAATGTGAGTGCTCCAAATGTGAGTGTTTGAAGAGAACAGAGTTTTTCCTTTCTAGGCAACAATCACTCATATAAATTGGTGAGTTGTTTCTTGACTGTAAGACCTTGCTCTGTGAAAAATAGATGCCATGAGGCTACAAATACACACTCACTTCCTTTGACAGCAATTGCCTGTGAAGTGTTTTGAGATGTTTTGACATTGTGGATGCTCTATCAAATACAATAATTATTATTATAGTTATCTTCAACAGATCTTCTCCTCGTATCACTAATGTTTTCACCCAGCAAATAGTTCAAAGGAACCTAACTTAGGAGTATTTCATCCATTTCCATCCGTGTAAATTTGCTTCATTATAATTCTCTATTTCTTTTGCTCCTGATGTCAAAATTAGTCACATACATTGCTCATAAGAATAGGAGACAATTTAGCTGATTATCCATACTTTTATTATTATTATTGTTTTAATACATCAAGGCTTGACTATGCTAATTCTCTGTTTGCCAGACTTGCTAACTCTTCCCTCTACAAGCTGTAGACTATTAGGCCTGCTGATATGAAGTTTTATTTGAGGCTTGTTAATCCTGTATTGTAGTCCTGTATTCCCCACCTCTACACACACAGTGTAGACATTATTTCCACATTGGAGCAACCAAGAGACTTGTCAGACAAATATGAAAAGTATGTGTTTTCCACGATGAGAGTGAGATAGAAGCGACGGTCAATGATTTACGCTCTGGAAAGAATGGGATCATTTAATAAGAAACAGACTGGTTTTACATGGGAACATTTCTGACATTTCCACTGCAAGTCACATTCTTGGCAGTCTTTTACAAGAATACAATGAAGACACTAATTACGTTATACCTCAAGATTTTTCTGTGGTCAGTGATCTTTCATGTGACTTGTTTCCAGGCGATGAGAGATGAAGAAGTTTTGCTTTATTAAGCTAAATACCACACACCATCAGCATATTGCACTTCATTGAAAAGAAATCAACAACATGCCTGGAGATGTATTAACTTCTGACTGTCTTTTAACTCCAAAGTACTTTAAAAAAACAAAGTGCAGAAGCAGTGTATTGACACAGTAAAATATAAGAAAAACGAACAAGGGAATCCTTAAATGCTATAAAAATCTGAGATAATCCTTACATTTGGTATAGCTGGGAGGAGGACATCTCAAAGTGCTTCACAGGATATGCTGCAAAGTGCAGTGATTGTCTATTTTTGTGGGCGAATGCAGCAGCTAATTTGGGCACAGCAATGTCCCACAGTGAAATGGGAAGCCATGAACCGAATGACTACTTTTTATTTGGGAGACTTGTTGGCCAGGATATTGGGAGAAAGTCCCGATAAAGCACAGAAAAGGGTTGTTCAACACATTTTGTGTGTGCTGGTACTAGCTGTGCTCTGGCTTTATATCTCTCTTTGGTACTGTCTCAAATCTCATTTAACTGTTTTCACATTACTCTTTAATTTTGTATTTTCTTCCCATCCATTTTTTAAAAATAATAATAATTCCCTTTTAAGTGTTGGGAATGGACTCTGCTTGGGCATCTATTTGTGAGCACACATTTTACATTGTAACAATCTTCATTAAAAAAAAATTTGCTTACCTCTGCCTTTTTTTCTTTTGGTTATAATCCTATTTGGGTTTTTGAATCTTACTGAAAGCAACATTCGCATTGCATGAAGTAGTTGACTGTCTGATTGAGGTTGGTCATTTCACTGAATAAAGGAGGAAAGCTCTCACAATCATTCTGGAAGATGCATGTAGTATTTAATAATAATAATACTAATAATCCTTGCATTTGATATAGCACCTTAATCATGCCGTTGAGACATCTCAAAATGCTTCACAGCATATATTATAAAGTGGATTGACTGTGTATTTGGGGGCGAAACGCGGAAGCCAATTGCGCACAGCAGTGTCTCACAAACAGTCGTGGATTGAGTGACCAATTTTTTTGTAAGGATCCTCATCCTCACTTTCTTGCCCTCCCCTACCTCTGTGACCTTCTTAAATCCTATCAACTCAGCTGCAAACTCCTCTCAACCTAATGAGATAATAAGGATGTATCAGGTGTGACTTCAATCCTTGAATTTGATATAGCACCTCATCATGCCATTGAAGCATCTCAAAGCACTTTGCAGGACTTACACTAAAGTTTAGTGACTGTGTATATGAGGGTGGACACTGCAGCCAATTTGATTACAACAATGTCCAACACCCATGAAGTTGATGACCAATGTTCTCTGGAAGATTGTTGGCCAGGACACCAGGAAAATCTCCTGCCTCCTTTTGAAAGTATCAAGGGATCTTTAATGTCCATCTGAACAGGCAGACACGATCTTAGTTTAATGTATCATCTGCAGGACAGTACCTCCAACAGTGCAGCACACTTCCAGCATTGCATTGGTGTGTTAGTCAATAGAGTGAACTCATAAATAATAATAATAATAACCCTTGCATTTTATATAGAGCTTTTCATGTCTTCTAGATGTCTCAAAGCGCTTCACAGAATGTACTGTGAAGTGAATTGACGGGATATTTGTGGGCGAAACATGGCAGCCAATTGCACACAGCAGTGTCCCACAAACAGTCGTGAATTGACGTGACCAATTTTGTTCTTATTGATTTTTTTCTTGAGGGATTATTATCAGGTGTGTAGAGTAAGGAAACTTGCCCAAGATTTCGCCTTGCTGGGAATCGAACCCAGGTCTCTCACTTACAAGGCAAGTGCTCTAACCACTGAGCTACAGGACTCTCCATAAAGTCCCGATTTTGACTATTTGGGGTGAGTATTGCGGGGTAACTGGAAACTGTGAAACTGTTTGCTGGCAGAAGGCAGCATCCTTGGAAGAGGAGGGGAAAAATGGAAAGCGGACAAAAGTATGTTACAACCTTGAAATCTGAAAGCTACATTAAAGCCATTTACAATTGATTGCTCTTTTGAGGAGCAATCTTTTCTGTAAAGTCTGAAATGGATATTTTCAATAATGCAGACTGTCAGAATAATGAGTCTGTGAAGCATTATCTCTACCCTATAAAAGTTCTATTTTCTAGCCTGCACAACCATCCCCAAATCTCTTGGATCAAGTAGCATGTGATTCAGTTATACAGAGTTTGTTGCGTCACCATTGCACTGCTTTGCTTGAGCATATTGGCTCGGGAGGCAGATTGAGTGGACAAATTTAAAAGGGAATTTGATAACTGTGAGGTGAAGTCTGTCAGGACAATGAAAACTTGCTCCGAGGAAAACTTTCCTATTAAAATCAATGGGACAAAGGTTATACAACAATACAGTGTCATATGAGCACTCAAGGCCGTTATCAAAACAGTGTCATAATAATAATAATAATCCTTGCATTTGATATAGCGCTTTTCACGTCTTCTAGACGTCCCAAAGCGCTTCACAGAACACACTGTAAAGTGAATTGACTGTATATTTGTGGGCGAACGCGGCAGCCAATTGCGCACAGCAATGTCCCACAAACAGTCATAGATTGAAAATGACCAATTTAATTATTGTTTTTGGTTTTTGGAGGAATTATTATTAGGCGTGTGGAGTAAGGAAACTTGCACAAGGTTTCACTCTGCCTGGAATTGAACTCAGGTCTGTCGCTTGCAAAGCGAGTGCTCTAACCACTGAGCTACAGGACTCCACAACATGTCTATTAATAAGAAACAACCACTGGTTTCATGCAAGATATCGATGGACATTTCGTGATGAGTCACATTCCGAGTACTATTTTACCAGAGCATGATGTGGATAGTCATTTGGTTTTACAGAAAAACATTTGTGTGTTTTTTTCATAAAAGCCCTGGTCCTGGCAATGTTACAAACTGTAACAAAACTGTAGATCTTTGTTTTGTTAACCTAGCTTTGATATACAGTAATTCCAGCTTAGTCTAACCAAAGTGAAATGATCTGCATTTAATTCTTAAAAAATCAAATATGTGTATTGAAAACTGCATCAATTAGTTTTTTCAAAAAAATGCAAATGATACTCCGGCTGTGATTGTTTCGCTCACACAATATACAGTCAATTCACGTTACAATATATTCTGTGAAACACTTTGAGATGTGTCAACCATGTGATAAAGCATTATATAAAATGCAAGGATTATTCTTATTATTTTCAACCTCCCCAATTGTTCATTCAGCTGATAGAGTGAGACTTCATTGCCTGACAGACTTCACCTCACAGTTATCGAAAACCCTTTAAATTTATTCACACAAACTGCTTCCCTGACCAGTTTATTCCGTATATTCAATACTCTCTGTATAAACTAATTACATTTGAATTGTCGATTTATTTTCACTCTTCTGAGTTTGACTTTGTGCTGAATATGTGCTTGCTCCAGATCTATTGACTAGACTTGAGAAGTTTATGTCCGGAGGCATCGAGATCTACTCCAGACGTACAGACTTTGCTGAACATTTACAACAAAAACAATTTGCATTTATATAGCCATACGGTGTCTCGGAGAACATGCACACTGCTCACATGCACTTGTTTCTTTGACACTGCTAGTACAGTGGGATTTACTCATAGTGTGGTAGCTGTGGTTTATATGGTGATTTGCCACAAAACATTTCTCAGTATTACTTACGTGTGAGATGTGTGAAAGCGAAACATATCTGATAAGATGATTTTGTCAGGACATCACTTTTCCACACTGGACTACACCAACATTCTATTCGCTGGACTTTCCAGCAACTCCCTACACCACCTGCAGAGTATCTAGAACTATTCTTTTCCCTTTTTTATATTTAAAAGCAATTAACAG